TTGGCTGTAAGTGTCCCTTTCTGACGGAAACTTTTCCCGCATTTTGAACAATTATACGGTTTCTCTCCGGTATGAATCCTCTCATGCGAAATAAGGTTGGAACCGGTACTAAATCTTTTCTGACACACCGAGCACTGATACGGTTTATCTCCAGCGTGAATTCTCTCGTGCGCAATGAGGTTGGAACCGCTAGCAAAACTTTTCTCACATATGGAGCATTGATGTGGTTTCTCTCCGGTGTGAATTTTTTCATGTGTTCTCAGGTTTCCCTTCTGGTGGAAACTTTTCCCGCATTTTGCACATTTGTAAGGTTTTTCTCCAGCATGAATTCGCTGATGCGCAATTAGGTTGGAGCCAGAACCAAAACTTTTGAGACAGATGGAACATTCATATGGTCTCTCGCCAGCATGAATTCTCTCATGTGCGATAAGGTTAGAGACACTAGCAAAACATTTCTGACATACAGAACACTGATGTGGCTTCTCGCCAGTGTGGATTTTTTCATGTGTCCGAAGGTTTCCCTTCTGATGGAAGCGTTTCCCGCATTTCGAACACTTGTAAGGTTTCTCCCCGGTATGAATTCTCTCATGCACAATAAGGTTGGAGCCACTAGCAAAACTCTTCCCGCATACAGAACATCGAAACGGTTTGTCTCCGGCATGAATTCGCTCGTGTGCAATCAGGTTGGAGCCGCTAGCAAAACTTTTCTCGCAAATGGAGCATTTATGCGGTTTCTCTCCAGTGTGAATTTTTTCATGCGTGGAAAGGTTTCCCTTTTGGCGGAAGCCTTTCCCGCACACCAAACATTTATATGGCTTCTCGTCAGTGTGAGTTCTCTCGTGCACTCTCAGGTCGGAGCTTCTTCTGAAACTTTTCCCACACTGACAAATGTGGAGTTTTAGGCCATCCTTGGTGTCTTCCTGATTAAAATCACCTTCACCAATCAGAATAGGTGCATCCATGCTCTTGCCTGGTTCGGGTCTCTGCTCACCCTGCGCTTCCTCCTGACTCACAGGCCCCGTTCCCTCCTTGCAATATTGGTAAGTGCTGTCCGTCTTTGGCAATACTTCCTCGGGGGCCACCTGCTCAGAGTGAGTTTCATGTATATTATCCACTTGGCTCACAAGCACCTGCCCAGCACCTGGAGGAACAAGCAAGAGTCACATGCCCTGTTTTGGATAATTTCTCCAACACACAATCAAATAAGAAATCTAGGAGGAAGATGCGATAGTAGAGTGCACCTCTGAACGTGTGTAGCCTGCTGTCATTCTCTAACACTGTCGAGAGCTGAATCGGGGAGATCCAGATTCGAATCCCATGCTTGGCCATGAAGCCCACTGGCTGGTTTTGCGACAGGCATTCTGTCTCAGTGTAGCCTACTTCACAGGGTTGTTGGGAGGATTAAATGGGAAACACTCTCAGACAGGATACTCTGAACTCCTCAGAAACAGAGCAGGACATATATATATATGTGATCACTGAAATCTGAGCTGCGTGGCCCTTTCTTTGGCAGGCTTGGGACCTTCCAGGGCAACCAAGATTACACATGCGACTCATGCAACCTCATTTTACATTAGGGTCATGCATAAGGGGGGGAAAGGATTTTTAACCCTTCAGCGTCCACTCCATTTCTCTGATCAAAACTGGGCTCTCCACTTCAATAGCCTTTTAAAGGGGAGGAAAAAGGCATGTTTTTAAAGGGCACTTCTTTTCTCCCTTTAAAATATTGTCAGCAGGGCCAGTAAACAAGTTTTGAATCACAAAACCGAGCAGTGATTGAAAAGCTAAACCCCTCTTCCTTTCCTGCAGAGCCCAGAGGCAAACTGAGCCTGCACCAGCCTACTGCTGGCATTTTCACAGAAGAAAAAGAGTTGGATTTATACCCCACCCTTCACTCAGAGTCTCAGGGCGGCTTACAAACTCCTTCCCCTTCCTCTCCCCACAACAGACGCCCTGTGAGGTAGGTGGGGCTGAGAGAGCTCTGAGAGAACTGCTCTTGAGAGAACTGCTCTGAGAACAGTGACTGACCCAAGGTCACCCAGCTGGCTTCATGTGGAGGAAGAGTGGGGAATCAAACCCGGCTCTCCAGATTAGAGTCTGCTGCTCTTAACCACTACACCAAGCTGTCTCTAACAGAGATGTGCCTCTTTTGTCATGCCCATAGTATTCCCCTCTTTCAGGATTCAGTTTATCTCAGCTTCTTCCCCACTACCACAATTTTACTCCCAATCTACACCCTCCATGTTCCCTACAGGTCTCTCCTCTCAGATCTCATGGTCAATGTTCCCTCTAAGCTGTGGAGTCTTGTGAGCAAAAATTGTACTTTGTGAGCCACTGGCATTAAAGTTGTGAGTGAGCAATTCGGCTGTTGCATAAATTAGTTTGCTCTGGAGCCGTCCCTTCCTGAGCTGAGACAGAAATGTGTGAGCCGGAGGCTAAAAAACTGTGAGCTGGCTCACACTAACTCAGCTTAGAGGGAACACTGCTCATGGTTGCTTCATTCACTCAGGGGATCTTGTCAGTGATCTTCATGTAATGCGGGAATCAGAGAACAGGAGGCCATCTTCAGCATATGGCTCTTGCTCCGTGTGAGACCAGAAGGCGCTCGCATGAGGGGATATCACATTAGAAGTGAGCCCTCGCCGCCCAAATCTGCCTGGGGCCTATCTTCTTCACCTAGGGTGCACTGTCAGTACAGGAAAGGGGTCTCAACTGGGAAGGGATAACAAATAAAGGAGAGAAAAATGCGGGTCAAGGCAGGTGTGCGTGTATATAATGGCCTGACAAAAAAGCAGGCAGAAGGAACCTAGTCCCCTTCTCCCCTGCCAGTTTTTGTGACACCACAGGAGCAAAGAAAAAGAAAGGCCTCTGTTACTAGCCACAGGACAAAGGGCCTCAGGAGAAGGGTTGCCAGTTCCCAGTTGGGGGTGGGGGATCCCCTGGTTTTGCGGTTTCCTGCCTGCCACTGGCTGGTGGGAGGAAATCCCCCCAACAGCAATGTAGAGTGATGTGCCTATGTCACCTGGAAGTGACATGGGGCATGTCGGTGACGTTGGGGGGGTGACGCTCTAGTTTTTGGGCAAAACTCTATGGTTTGAGGGCGATGTTACCATACAGTTTTGCCCAAAAACAAGAGTGTTGCCCCCAACATGCCTACATCACTTCCAGGTGACATAGGCATGGAGCACAATGTCACTTCTGGTGACGTTGGGGCGGTGGGGGCTATGCTCCCAGCTCCTGGAGCGTCCCCCCATCCCCCCACTGGCGTCTCGAAGGGACCGGGCAACCCTACTTAGGAGAGTTCCACCATTTTTCGTCCAACCTACAGTAACGGGGGGGAAGTCCAACTGGATATAAATGTTCTCAAGCCGATCTCCCTCCCCTGTCTTATCCCTCCCACTTCCCCTTGCCCTCATGTTTTGTCTTTTCCAGTTTACAAGCCGGAGGGCAGAGCCCGTCTCTCTTTATCAACAAGACTGGCTTTGGTTGACACGAGGCTGAAAAGCAGGATAGAACGACAGCAAACAAGCAAAAATTCATCTCTGTGAAAAACAGGCAGGGATTGTGTGCCGCATTACAGAGTTTCTGTTGTTCGTGACACACAAGAGTGCCGATTAAAGCGCCCTGACCTAGGTAGCCCAGGCAAGCCGGATCTCGCTGGAAGCTAAGTGGGGCCGACCCTGGCCAGGACTTGGAAGGGAGACCTCCTGGAGATACCAGCAGTGAGGAGGGCAGGGGCAGGCTTCATTCAGCCACCGCTCTGAATATCCTCCAGGCCCCCAGTGAGGTCGTCATGACTTCCAGGTGCGTGCGCGTGTACACATGCACACACACAAAAATACAAAAAAAGAAGAAGCGTGCCGATTAAAGTTTCACCACGGATCGTTTTGTAGAAAAAGAGCTAGGGGAACTCATTAGCATAAATCATTAGCATATGCCACACACCCTGACATCACTGGAAGTGTGTCATAAGGCCACACCCCCTGACATCACCGGACGTGTGTCATAAGGCCACACACCCCGCCCCCAACGGTCCCGGCCGCCGCCGCCGGCCTTGCAGCTCCACTGCCGAGCCCCATGAGGGGCCTGGCGGTGGACCTGCAAGGCCGGCGGAAGTGCAAGGAAGCCCCGCGAAGGCCCTCCCTGGCCCCAGGCAGGCAGGGGGGGGGAGAGGCAGGGAGGGAGCAACTTACCCTCCCTCTTCTCCTGCCTCCTCCTGGCTGCCCCGCCCCCCGTACCTCACCCGGGGGAACTGCGATCCCCCGCGATCCCCCCCGAAATGACCTCTGAGTTTCACACTTTTTTCATTGTTGTTCAGAGCCTGCAAAGAAACAGCAACTGTGAGAATGCAGTCAAGGCTCCAAACAGCTTAAAGGAAGCCTTTAAAAAAACGGGGAACGCTTCCTATGCCTATTTACTTCATCCGGGAAATCTGGGGGGGGGGACAAACACCCTCTGTCAAAGTCAGGGTTGTTCTTGAATAGCAGGGCAACTTGGCTTTGCAATGGATGTTACCCTGAAGCGCAGCCGCCTGCCTGTATTTATGGGGCGAATAAAATTTTATGGCGGTAACCACAGCAACGGGAGAGACGGCACTGCCAGGAGAAGCTGCGGAAACTCGCTGCCCTCTGCTTGTACTCCCGCAAACCGAATTTTCATTGCTTGAGGTGTGTGGCCTTCCTCTCTCCCGATTCCCATGCATGTTTGTTCACTGTGCTCAATAAGGTTGCCAGCTCTGGGTAGGGAAATACCTGGAGATTTGGGGGGGTGGAGCCTGAGAAGGGCGGGGTTTGTGGCAGGGAGGGACCTCAGTGGGGTATGACGTCACAGAGCCCACCTCCCGAAGCCGCCATTTTCTCCAGAGGTACCTGGAGACCAGTTGTAATTCGAGAAGACCTCCAGCCACAGCCTGGAAGTTGGCAACTCTAGTAGTCAATGGGGCTTAAGTGGCTACCGCATCCCATCTGGAGGTTTCTGCGGGAGCGCACAAGCAAGGTATAGAGGCGACACTTCCTTTTTGCCAGTCTCCTTCCACCCCCAAAATCTGGGATTCAGAGGTATACTGCTATTAAAGATGGAGGTTCCATCCACCTTTCCTGGCATTAGTGTACGGCTGTCATAGACTCCCCGCCCCCTCCCAGAAAGCAAGGGAATTCTTGGATCACCAAAGCAAACCAACCATGGGATTAAGATAAAACTGCCTGGAAATGAACTCGTGCCCCCTTAACTTCGGTGCAGTGTAACCATTTTATACACATCGGCACTGCACTCTGGCCCGTAGCTACAGTGGGGCTATTGGGCTCCACTCCCACAAGATTTCTTTGAGAAGATTTTTTTAGAAGAATGGGGGGGCCCTGAATGCATGGGCCCCCTCCACTTCTTCTCAAAAGCATTCAAAGGGATCCTTTACATGCTTTTGAGGAGCGGGGGGGGGGAGCGCATGCCCCTCTCCCTCCCTCCTGCAGGACTTAAACGGCCCTCCAGCTGATTAGCGGGCCACCTGCTCCCCGATGATCAGCTGAAGGGCCGGTGGTTGGGCTTGGGAGTGGATTGAAGATGACATAAAAATAATGGCAGCCCCACCAGAAATTTTTTTGCCCCACAAGCCACAAAATCCTGGCTACGGGCCTGACTGCACTCACTTACCAAATGCTCCTCCGTGACTGGCATTCTGAGATACACGGCCTGAGAACACAGAGGCTCCATTTAGTGGTCATGGTTAACAGCCCTTGATGGATCACTCCTCTGTGACTTTCACTAATCCCCTTTTAAAGCCATATACGCCAGTGAGCATCACTACATCTGGTGGCAGGGAGTTCCACAAGTCAGTTATATACATAAACCTTTATTGGCATAACACAGCAACAAGAAGGGAAGTCGGTTACGCATTGCAGGAAGAAGTCCTTCCTTTTGTCTCTCTTGAATGTACTGCTGTAAATTTCATTGGGTTTCTCTCTGTTCCCTCCCCCCCACACACACACAATTAAAGTTTTATAAACCACTATCATTTCCCTCTTTGGTTGTCTTTTTTCCATACCACATCGGTAAATGTTGACGATCCCCTAAATGCCATCTCTGTGGTGACAGTATACAGAAAGAAGTTCAGGTCGTGGTTCAAGTCATGCTGAATTACAAAAATCGTTGAATGATCAGGGAGCCCCTGTCACTACTGTTTAGCCTAACCTACCTCACAGGGCTGTTCTGACAATAAAAAGGCAAGGCAGCCATGTACATCAGCAGCTCTAGAGTTCCTTGGAGAAAGCATGGGCTGAAGTCGTAGCTAACACAGAGAACAGCATTAGAAACGGCCCCTTAGGGACCAGACCCAAAGCTTAACTATGTGTTATAAATTCAAGGGATCGTGTCCAGCTCCATCAGGAGGACTTTCGCTGAGATGAGTATTGTGAGTTTCCAGGCAAGTGGGGGCCCAATTCGAGATTGGGACTGTGGTGCATGGAGAAGGGACATTCCCCCAAGTCATTTTCCCAACCTGAAATATCAGCAGGGGTTGCTATTTACTCAGTTGGGGAAACCCATGTATACGCTTCAGTACACACGGAGCCTAGGGTTGCCAGGTCCCTCCTGGCCACTGCCAGGGGATGGGGGGGGGTAGGGTTGCCAGATCCAGGCTGGGAAACCCCTGGAAATTTGGGGGCGGAGCCTGGGGAGGGCAGGGACCTCAGTGGGGTACAATACCACAGAGCCCACCCTCCAAAGCAGCCATTTTCTCCAGGGGAGCTGAACTCTGTCATCTGTACATGAGCCGTAATTCCAGGGGATCCCCTTGCCCCACTTGGAGGCCGGCATCCCTAACTGGAGCCGCAACAGGGCAAATATTCCCCCCACCACAGGCTAGGGTTGCTGGCTGATGGCAGGCACCCGGCGGGAGACTAGGGAGACACCATAGCATCAACAGAATGATATCGTTTCTGGCGCAAAACCAGAAGTGACGTCACACCACTCTAGGATTCAGCAGAACATCTATGGATTTACCACAGAGTTTCCACTGAATTCTAGAGCGGCATGATTTCATTTCCAGGTTTGCCTCAGAAATACCATCACACCTTCAACGCAGCAGTAATTTTTGGATTATTTCCCCCTGTCGGCCTACTGAGTAAAAGCAGGGTTTGGGGGCCGCTGGCCGGAGAGACCTGACAATCCGACCCAGAGCTGTTTCAGGTCGGGAAAATGGCCCCGGAGGGACAGGGCAACAATGGCTCAAGCCCCATCGCCCCAACCTGATTTATGTCCCCACATGCCCGGGAAACGTTTCAAGCAGGGAAACTTGCTTCTGATTCCCAGGATCCGGGGAAAACGTGACACGTAGTTAGGCCTTCAGCAAATTTGTATTTGTAGGCTCTCACAAGAAGCATCCTCTGCACGTTTGTGCAGTGAGGGGAAAATTACCACAGCACAGCCTTACCTGTGGACTTCTCAGCTCCTTCCCAATCTGGTGTTGCGTCCAGGTCAATCCACGTATCTGGCGGCGGAATCTCATCGCCCTCAGCAGGACTCACAGCCACCCCCTCCCAAGAATCCGGCACCTAAAACAGTAGTGGAAGATCCCAATCAAGGGGGATGGCACGGGTCTCGGTTTTCCTCCCCAGAGGGGCAGATGCCTACAATCACTTGATTCCCCACAGACATGGTTGTCCCCAGCTGTTCCTTATCTGTCTCCACTGTTGCCTGGATTTGGGCACACTGTAAAAACCCGACGTAAGACACAATGGCGACAACGCAGCACGCCACACAATAGATCTCTGGATGTTCACCACTGCGGGGATGTAAAAATTGGGGATTCAGAGTTTGTCTGAATCCAGCTTTGGTCTTTTGGAAGGGAAACTGGACCCCCTTTTTGAAATATCAGCACCAAACCCTCTTACCTCCTCTTTCAGTCTGACAACTTCTTTCTGCTTCGACAGAAACTCTTCCGCCAGGGCCACCGCCTGGATACAGGTCTCTGGGCCGCACCGCCGGACCCAGTTCTGCATTTCCTGGGGCAGGACGGTCAGGAACTGCTCCAGGATCAGCAGCTCCAAGATCTCCTCCTTTGAGTGCCTCTCCGCTTTCAGCCACTGACGGCAAAGCTGCTGGAGTCGCCCATAAACCGCTCTCGGCCCCTCCGCCTCTTGGTAGCACAGCTGTCTGAAGCGCTGGCGCCGCTTCTCCCTCACGATGGCCGCCGCTTGCAAGATGGCCGCCTTCACCTTCCCATAATCCTCTATGTCTCGGACACTGAGGTTGCTGAAGGCCAGCTCGGCTTCTCCGCTGAGGGCCGGCAGAAGGAAGGTCACCCACTTTTCCTGAGGCCACCGACACGCTGTTGCCACTTGCTCAAAGGAGGCCAGGAAGGCTTTAGCGTCGTCCCATGGTGCAGGCTCCTCAGACACTGGTGGGGCCCCCCACCCCGACTGAGGGGCCTGCAGAGACCCCAAGAATTCCTGCCATTGGTTTTCCCAGAGTTGCGGCTCCTCTTCATCGGGCTCCATTTTAATAAATGGCAAGGTGATCGTCTTCAGCTCCCCGATGCTCCCTACGTGTACAATCTTTGGGGCCTTGGCACCCTCCATCTCGGAACACAGCCTGAAGGCCTCTAGATTATCTTCCTCCTTCACCAGCAGCGGGAGCGCTCCTGCCCGTTCCTCCACAGACATGTTCACCTCCAAATCCACAATCAAGTTCTCCATCAAAGAAGTAAAACTCCGGAGAGAGGGAAATCTTGGGGGGGGGGGACTTCTGGGGCCGTTTCCTCTGGCCAAGCCCTTATTGTAGACTTCCCACCTGCTACAGTCAATCGGGGGGGTTCCAAATGACTATGCAGATTGCTCTACAGAAAGAGAAGGCCCAAGTTAGTGAAGAAACACACAGATGTAGAAGAAGGTGTAGAAAAAGGAGGCAGAAACCTCAGGCCTAAGAGGAGATTCAGCCACAGAAGGTCCCAACTGACCAAACCTGGGTAGGGGAAAGAATGGGGCACGCACTGGCATTATGCCAACACCACTTGCAGCAGCAAACAGAAGTAATATCACAGGACGCTCTAGGATTTGGGCCCCACAGCGTCATTTCCAGTTTTTGTCAGAAATGGCACCAGTGCACCAGTTCCCTGCCCCCTAAATGCTCTTGGGAGTTAACGAGATGCAGCCTAGCAACTCTAGCAACCAGTGTTTGGGCTGCAGAAACGTAGCAGATTATTAATCAACATGTCAATGATCAGTATTGTACACTTTCAGTTATGCAAATAGCTTTCTCATAATGGCTCTTTGTTGATCTCTTCCTCTTCCTTTAGTTCTTTAATTATAAAAGGTTGTTGACCCCTGGTCTACTATCTGATTGTTCATATGCCTAGAAACCTTGCCTTACTGACACAAAAATAACTGCAAGCCACAACACCAGAGGGAACTCAAACCTAAAAATAAAACCAAAGGGAACAACGACAACAGGAAAAGCCTGAGGGCCTTGGTCTCACACACACAATTTCTCTTGGTGAGTTACCCAGCAAGCCCAAAGAACAACTAATAGTAAAATAAGCAAACTTTTTAAAAAAATGTTGTTCAGTCAAACCAGTCGCTGCCTTCACTCTTCTCCAGGCAGGCAGAGTCTCTCAGGCAGCAGGAGTCAGGCTCAGAGCAGCCGCTGAAGCCAAAGACAGCGCACACCCTCCAAACCTCTCTCAGCAAGGGAGTCTAGCTCAGCCAGACCCTTGCTTTTATGCTCTTTGCCCATCCACAGAAGAATTTCAAAAAAGAACAAATTTCTGTGATTGGCAAAAGAGCACTGTGCTCCCCCTCACCTGAAATCCTGTTTGCCAAATTGCCACTGCTCCTTCTCCCCTTCTTCCTGTTCCCTGGGACATGGGGTGGGGAAAGCAAGGTAGTTACTTACCTGGACTTCACATTTGAAGCCAACAACCCTGCAAGTTGCAAACCTGGCAAAAGCATGCAATGATTGGCTCTAAGGCGCAACAGCTCCCACTAAGGTGCTTTTGCCATTGGGCTGCAGAGATGCCTCTTCCCCTCCCTCCTGTTGCCTGGAAACCAGAGCAAAAGGCAGGAAAGAACCCTAGAGGAGAGAACTGAAAGTTATCTTTGTAGCCCTTTAAACCTCTCCACCCCAGCTATTCTGTATAGCCGAATACACCTGGGGAAAAGCCAACAAAAAATCGGCTTTATTTGGGATCAGCTATACGGGTAGCTGGTCAGATTTTCCAATCTGTAATCGGCTTTAAAAATACCCGAAAAATACCGGTAAGGTATTTTTCAGGTATTTTTTTTGCTCGGATACAGCCGAATGCACACCCCTATTTCAAATGACTTGACAATTCTTTGATAATATTTGACTGCTCAACTGACCAAATCTCTTGACGGGTTAAGTAACCAACCTTACAAAGCCCTCAGGCGTTTAAAACAGAACAGAACAAACACAAAAACTGAACATGGGAGGAGATTAGTCCATTTTGGAGTTGGGTTTCACCTGCCGAAATGACTCTCCTCTACCTCCAATCTCAGCTCGCACTAGACTCCGCCTTGGGCCCACCTGACATCCATGAACACATGAAGCTGCTTTATAACTGAATCAGACCCTGGGTCCATCAAGTTCAGCACTGTCTACTCAGGCTGGCAGCAGCTCTCCAGGGTCTCAGGCAGAGGTCTTTCACATCAGAGAGCCAGTTTGGTGTAGTGGTTAGGAGCACGGACTCTAATCTGGGAGAACTGGGTTTGATTCCCCACGCCTCCACATGCAGCTGCTGGTGTGACCTTGGGTTAGCCACAAGTTCTTTCAGAACTGTCTGTTGTGGGAAGGGGAAGGGATTGTAAGCCGCTCTGAGGTATAAATCCAATCTCTTCTTCGTCATCACCTACTGCTTGGTCTTTTTAACTAGGGATGCCAGGGATCGAACCTGGGACCTTCTGCATGCCAAGCAGATGCTCTGCCACTGAGCCATAGCCCCTGCTGGGCTCTACCTCCTGACCCACCCAAAACTGCTGGCTCCACCCTAAACTACCACTCTGTACTTTACCCCCAGGTCCCATCCAGGTACCAGATTTTTGTGCCGGAAAGTTTGGCATTCCCAACCGGAAAGGAAAAGCCTGACATTCTCTTCCTGTGTATTCTCTACATCACGATAAAACCCCATAGCAGAGTCCAAATCAAAGGATGCCTCTCCACAGAGTCGGGACAGGTCTTCAGCTACAGTTGAAGAGCTCCTGGCACTGTTTCCCCCGTTCCCCACTTCATAGGCGGGTGAGGGGGAAATGCGGGGGGCGGGTTTCACTGACATCGTGCCAGAGCTAAACTGGAAGTGACATCATTGTGTCGAGGCAACGCTCTAGGATTTGCCCAAAACTCTATGGTTTTGTTCCAGAAGTGATGTCACAAGTCAGAATGACACAGGCAAGCCCGTTCCTACCCTTAATGGAACTTAGTGACCTTAGTGACCTGGTGGGTCACTAGTTCCATAGCATGGAGGATTTTCTTTGCCTTCACTTCCAAACAGCAGGGTTGTTTTTTTTGAGGGGGCAGGAAGCAACTGGACATTGTCATCCACTAACTGTCCGCTTTCCCTGTTCTCCGTAAGTTCTTTCTCAAACCTAGTTTGTTACGAGGTTTCTAGAAAGAACGCAATCCAAGCTGTTTGGACAGGAAATTGCACATTTCATAAAGTCTCACCCACAGTGGCACTCTCTTCCTTGCCTTGGACCCTGCAGCCAGCATTTCCCTCAGGTACCAGGGGACTTTTTCAAGCTTAAAATAGATCAGTTATAGCTATTATATTATAGCTCAGGGCTCTTTTTGTAGAAAAAGCCCAGCAGGAACTCATTAGCATAATAGGTCACACCCAACAGCAGAAACTCATTAGCATATTAGGCCACACCCCTAACAACACAGCTCATTACCAGACGTGTGGTCATCCAGCCACACCCACCTTTTGCTTCTTATTCTGTTTACCTTGTTTGTTGTCAAAACCCAGGGCTTTTTTTGTAGCTGGAACTCCTTTGCATGTTAGGCCACACACCCCTAATGTAGCCAATCCTAATGAGTTTCTGCTGTTGGGTGTGGCCTATTATGCTAATGAGTTCCTGCTGGGCGTGGCCAACTCTAGAGCCAGCCGGAACTCCGTTCCTGTGTGTTCCTGCCCAAAAGAAGTTCCTGCCCTGGCTATAGTTATAAAATTATGGATGGGGTGGAGAGTTGACAGAGTTGATAAAGAGAACTTTTTCTCCCTCTCACAAAATACTAGAACTCGAAGGCATCCAAGGAAGCTGATGGGCAGTAGGTTCAGGACAGACAAAAGGAAATACTACTTGAGGAGGAGGAGGAGGAGATTGGATTTATACCTTGCCCGTCACTACCTGAAGGAGTCTCAGAGCAGCTTACAATCCCTTTCCCCTCACCACAACAGACACCCTGTGAGGTAGGTGGGGCTGAGAGAGCTCTCTCGAGGACTGCTCTTGAGAGAGCAGCTCTGAAAGAACTTGTGACTGACCCAAGGTCACACCAGCAGCTGCATGTGGAGGCGTGGGGAATCAAACCTGGTTCTCCCAGATTAGAGACCGCACTCCTAACCACTACACCAAACTGGCTCACAGAGAGTGATTAAAATGTGGAATTCACTGCCAGAGGATGTAGTGATGGCCACAGGAATAAAGAACTTTAAAAGGGGGTTAGATAGGTTCATGAAGGAGAAGTCCATCAATGGATACTAGCCATGGTGGCTGAGGGGAACCTCCAAAATCAGAGTCATTAATCCTCTGAATCCCAGAGCCAGGAGGCAACCTCAGGGAAAGGCCTCGGCCTCTATGCCCTGTTGTTGGCCCTCCAGAGGAACCGGTTGGCCACTGTGTGAGACACAATGCTGGACTAGGTGGACTATTGGTCTGATACAACAGGGCTTTTCTTAGGTTCTTATCCCTCCTAGGGTTGCCAGCTCTGGGTTGTTAAATTCCTGGAGATTTGGGAGTGGAGGCCACAGATGGTGGGGCTGAGGGAGGGGAGGGGCCTCAATAGTTTATAATACCTTTAGGTCCACCCTCCAAAGGATCCATTTTTCTCCAGGGAAACAGATTTCTGTCACCTGGAAATCAGATGTAAATCTAGGAGCTCTCCAAGGTCCATGTGGAGGCTGGCAACCCTCTCCCCCTCCAGAGATATATTCTTGTTGACATCCCTATTCTTGTACCAAAGATCACTGACTAAAGCAGATACACTACTCCACCATTATACAGTCTGATGAAGGCTCTTTTGTTGAATGTTATATTCACTGACCGGGGGGGGGGAGAGCGGCCATGCTCTGGCTTCTCAAGCACACTGTGTTAGATACACAATAGTTTTTTTAGGATTTCACCTTGTGAGAAAACCTTCCCAGATTTCACGGACTAGAAATTTGCTTTATTTTTGTTTGTTTTTTGCATTTATATCCCGCCCATCCCGTAAACGGGCTCGGGGCGGATCACAACCATTTGATAAACACAATAACGTTTAAAAACACATTAAAACACATTCCTTTGCTGCTGTTGTTCCTCACTGCATATATTATATAATGCCCACATGCATAAGGGAAGAGCAAAGGGGACATTTATAAAGCGAGGGGGTATGTTCCCCCACCCATTCCCCTACATAACAAAAAACCACCCAAAGTTTAAAAAAAACAAACTTATCCGTACA